AGGGGAAAGGCCCAAAAAAGGGAGGGGCCCCGGCCCCCAAAAAAAAAAAAAAAAAAAAAAAAAAAAAAGAAAATTATAAAATAAAAAAATAATCTGTTCAGACACCCAGGTAGTGAGCAAAGAAGTAGGATTCAAACCCCAGGTCGGTATGACTCAGAAGCCCACCTGGTTCATCACTACCTTACGCACTATATGTTTGTTTTCTGTTAGACTACTGTCTTGTTATACAGTTCTCCAGCTGAGGCCTTTGAAGGAAGGCCACTTCTTTTTGGGTGTAGGGAGCCTCTTCTGTAGAGGACATCATGGAGTCAGTCATCAGGGAAGAGATAGGGTCTCAGAAGGGGAAAAAGTTGTCTAAAAAGTAGATCTGAAAGTAGATATCAGATAAACAGAAAAGGAGATTTTGCATCTTCTTATATATCCTTCTCTAAATCTAGTTATTGAGAGTTGTCTAGAAGGGTACTTCTGAATGCTGGAAGCTAACCAAACACACACACACACACACACACACACACACACACACACACACACAAAAGGGGGGCTTCTCCAAAAAAGACAGAATAGAGGTTAAGAAAGAGGAACCCAAGCAGTTAATGTAAGCTAATAATGAGGGAAATATATGTAATAAGCAAAATTATAGCAGGAGTCTTCTATGCTTATTTCCCAGGTTTTTTCCCCTTATTATTTAGTGAGATTTCTTTTCCTGTTATAGCATATACAACAGTAAGAATGGCAGTTCCATAACACTTGTGCTTCCCTTCCTCAGTCATTGCCCTTAGCCAGGTAAACCATTCAATTCACGGCATCCTTTTCCGGAGCCCCAGCATAGCCTCAACGTCTGTCTTACCCAGGTCTGATGTTAAGGTTGTAACAGCATCTCATTCCCCTGCTCCCAGTTATGGCAGATATAATCAGTGGGAAACAATCAGAGATTTTCCTTTTGATTCTAAACTTTGGACGTCTCTTATTTCATTAAAGAAAGTATCATTTCCTTTTGTACAAGTGGCAACTGCTACTGGCTTCAGTGGCTGCCAGCCTGTCAATGCCTTCATCTCCCAGCGGTCCATCAGTGTAATAAAGATCTCCCTCTTAGGAAGGAAATTCTGGGAAGGAAGGAGATGGGACTTTATGGGTGTGGGGTGGAATAAGGAAGGCAAGGAGGTTTGTCATACCTATAGAGGAACATCAAAACCAAACCTCAGCTCCGTCACTTTTGTTTACAGCAATGTGAGTCTAACTGCTAGATTTTAAGCTCTTGGAGGGCAGGGCCTCCAATTTTAGTAAGTGTTGTTGAATAACATGGATTGAATAAAGCTGACTGCAGTGAATAGCGATGTGGCCACGTCTTCTCTTCCATAGTCTTACAGCCACCATGGAATGCGGAGCCACTTGAGCACAATTAAATATAGTTTCCTCTTTCAAAAGTATTACTTTTTCAAGGTCATAATGGTATACTAATTACTGTTTTAATTAACGCAGATGTGTCTGAAGCAGTCCAAAAAAACAAGTATGCCAGATTGCAGCTTTAACACAGCGATAAAAGTTGTGATTCTAAATAATTAATCCTTCTTGATGATAGGTTATCCAGTCCTTTAGAATCAAAAATTTTTCCCCATCACAATTCTTCATCTTCCTATTCCATCTTGTGCTGAAGAATATAGGATCTTTACTTCCCCCATGAGGACATCAGCGTAAGAAGTCCCTGAAAGATGACCTAGTTTTCTCCATTTGCCCCTGGCCTCCTTAACAGACCCAAAGTGTGTAAACCACCACCACTACCACCAAATTACCCTAGCTTTTTCCATCACACGTAAGCAGTGCTTTTCTTTCCTGGGAAAGCTTTGGAAGTGGGGGGAAATGTCTACCTTGATTTATATTGAGTTGGAGGCAAAGGTAGAAAAGCAGTGGTTGAAAACTGCCCTCTCCTGCAGTACCCTGCTTTTTCAGACCTTCATGCCTGTGCACATAATCTTTCTGGAATACTCTTCTCTCCCTTCAAGTCCACCTGAGAAACTGTGATTGATCCTTGAGAAGTAACCTGCTCTGTGAAGCCTTTCCCACACTGCTCTCCTGCCCAAGCAAAGTCAGTCTCTTCTATTCCCATAAAATCTTGACAGACCTCTCTGATAGTGTTTGTCACATTGTACGGAATTATTTATTTACAAATCAACTTCTCCCAGCAGACTGAACTCCTTCAGAGCAAAGATTTTGTTTCATTCGTTTATCCTAGCACCTCACACAGAGTAGCTATTAACGCTATCGTACTGAGTTGAATCTTTATGAAACTTACAATATCTTTCTAAGATAAGTTAGGATGAGATCATGAGAGAGAGTACAGAACGTGGTATGGAGTAAATTCCAAGATATGCGTCAGCCGACACAATGGTGTTGTCATTCTAATGTACAAATTATAAGCAAAGCCACATGGGCTTCAAAGGATGCACAGAAGAAAACCTGTGTGTGGAAATGTTTCAGTAAGGCAGAGAAAGGGGAGGGAACGTTCACCCTGGGCGAGTCCTGTTTCATGCTCTGCTAGAATTATTGGTCCTTCTTAACCTCTTTAGTAAACATGTGGTTTTCATAATATACCTATCAGTCAGGATTCAAACAAGGAAAAACAAACACTGTGACACTGATGGAACAGGGAATTTATTTTAGGAATTAGACCTTGTACAGTCTTGGGTGAAGATGGGAGAATAGGTCCAAGGGGGAGAGTTGGAAGTTCAGGAGAAAAATCATTAATAGGCCCTCCTGAAATAATGGCATGGATGGACAAGTTGGAGCTTGCAGGGAAAGCTAAAAACTAGAGACATCCAGCTGCTGGGGTGGGACCCTGAAAGGATGTGGGGTGAGAGGGGGGACTTGTGTAGTGGTAAAGAAGCAATGGAAGACTGTTGCCTCTGCACAGCTCCTGCTCTGTACGTGTGCTGCCAAGCACTTGGTGGTAGGCTTGGGGTCATTGGTCAACAGGGCTTGTAGTTCTAGACACAGAGCAGGAAAGAACAAGGAGAAACTAAAACCCAGCGGTATTTCTACATCTTTTTCTCACACCTCTAATCACAACAACCTTCAGAAAGTCATGGCTGCTACTTCACTTCCACCTTCTAAATCTCATATAGATTTCTGTTTTGCTCAATTCTAGCCCACAACCGTACAGGGAAATGAGTTCTGGGAAACTTAATTCTTATTTAGCCCAATAGACACAGTACAAAACCACAACAATATGCCTCTAAATTTTGTAAATTGAATTTAGTTTCAATTTTAGAAGCAGTACTCACTTGAACAGGAAAAAGCCGAGCTAAGAAACATGTATGACTTTGTAATTTTTTACAAAGCATTCTTAAGTATTGCCTGGTAACAAACCTTACTAGCACACATTTCAGAAACAGAAACTATTAGTTGTAAATGCTCACTATAAAAAACTGTAAGGTGATTATATAAACATTTCTTCCTCTTTTGATGGTCAGACATAGAATTTAAGTACGGTTTTTAAACAGTCGTCTCTTTAGATCTTCTGAAAAAATGTCTAAGGAGAAAAAGGAAGTAACAATTATTGTGCACTGTGCCAAGAATTTCTTGTGTCTTATTTCATTTAACTCATGTATCAAACCTGTGAGGCTCCTAAGAGTGAAGTAACTCAATATCAAGTGCATGTGAAAAGGTTGAAAATTCATTCCACAATTCAGAGTAATTTATATCTCTAAGTTATCTTTTTCTCTTGACTTAGTTTGTTACTTACTCCTACTTTTTTTAACTTCTTATTGAAGAAGAGATAACATATATATTAAAGTACATAAAGTGGAATAATCTTAGGAGTACAACTCAATGAATTTTTGTGCATCCACGTATATATTCATGTAATCACCATCCAGATAAAAATATCAGACTTTTCCAGTACCCCTTGATTGATTTTCCTTGGGCCATTTGTACTTCCCAGGTAAACTGCCTTATGTATTTATATTTTTCATTATATGGATGATGTAATCCTTGGAACAATGGTAGGAGGAAGTGAACAATAGCAGTAAAGTGAAAATGTTGAATAATGTGCCTCATAACTGCTTTGAATTACATCTACTTATGTCACTTTCTCATTCTGCTTTTACTCTAAAACAGGTAATCAGATCCTGTCCCTTGGGAGCCTCTCAAAAGATCAGATTTATCCAATGAAACTCAAGGGCATCTCCATCTGCTATTCAGCTCTCAAATCTGCCTTGTGCGGAAATTATGTCAGCTTTGGCGTCTTCAAGTTGTATGGGGACAACCATTTTGACAATGTACTCCAGGCCTTTGTCAAAATGCTGCTGTCGGTGTCCCACAGTGACTTGCTAGTAAGCAATCATGCGTCATGGGAGTCTTTGTATGAAACGTGAAGTAACACCACCACAGGGTTGGAATTGTTATAATGAAGCCCAAGGAGTTAGAATAGCACCAGATCATTTTATGTTTTAGGACAGCTTCTTGATTTAACTTACAGGATTTGAATAACTATAGTGGCTGTATTTATATAATTAAATGTGCAGTTTTGAAAACTGCAGCTACCATCTTCTGATAAATTGGTCAGCTCAGGTATTCCAGGTTCTGTGTCTAGAGAAAATGTAATTAGCAATTTCAACTAATTGCTTAAAACTGTACTCATAATTCAGAGGAGGTCTGTGTTTCCCAGAGCAGAAAATGCAGAATGACTATAGGATCTTCTCCTTCCTTCATTCCTACTCTGTGTACTCCCCTTGCCGTTTGGCCTTGCTTTCCATTAAAATTCAGGTGTGGTGGACCAAGTGCTGAACTGGAAGTTGAGCAGCCTGGTATGTAGTCTCAACTCTGCCACTTGCTGGTCATTTACCTTGAATAAATCACCTTCTCTATTTCTCCAGGCTTCAATTTCCTCACCTTTTAAATGAGTAAATTAAACAAAGTGGTCTCTAGGTCCCTTTCCTACTCTACCATCTAGTCTCTGTGATTTATGTCAGTTGTTTTCAAACTTTGCCCATCAGAATCACCTGGGGTGCTTGTTGGAATTCAAATTTCCAGGCTCCTCCACTGAGCTGAGTCTGAGTCGTTATCAGACTTTTTAAAAAATATCTCAGCCTGATTACACAAAAGCTAATATATGCCCAATGTGGTTGCAGTAATTACTTCAGTAACAGCCAAATTCATGCTCAGGCTTAGTTTAGGCTTTCCCACCTGCTCCCAGCCCAAGGTTACAAGTAAGATCTGGGGGCCTTCGTTAGTCAGCCTGTATGAGAAATGCTCCTTTGACATTCTAACGCACTAGAGTTACCCTCTTCCACCTTTCTAAGCTAGTCTTCATAAAACCACATCTCGGGAATTCTCTGGCAGTCCCGTGGTTAGACTCTGCAGGTTCATTGCCAGGGACCCGGGTTCATTCCCTGGTCAGGGAACTGAGATCCCACAAGCTGCGCGGCATGGCCAAAAAAAACTAAAAACGAAAAAAACCACATCTCAAGCCAAAGTTGTCAAGCCTCTTTGCAGTAGAATGGAATGTTCATTGAAGGCTGCCTGTACAACAGAAATTACAAAGTGGAAACTTGAGTCAGATCAGCCATGTGTTACAGCCTCCTCATTGAGGGAACCCTTCACTACAGTTGAGGCCCACCAAAAAACCTGATATTGTTCCAGGAATTTCTCTATTCCTTTTTCTAGTAGACAAGCAAACCTCTAACTCAGTAATCTCAAAATTGAGGCTGCATAGGACTCCCTTAGTGTACATTTTTAAAATGCACATTTCAGGACCTCGTTCCAGAGGTTTCCATTTTGTAAGTCTGAATTGGGAATCAGAAAACTGCATCTTTAACAAGCACCCCATGTGATTCTTATGGAGATAGTCAATTTTACTTTAATAAATATCGATATGGTTTATTTCTCTTATAAGTGTTGTGCTTCTTTGATACTGGTTTGGGTTTCATTTGAGGTTTTCCAGGTATCTTTCTCATGCACTTATCCTTTGCCTGTTGTATATGGTAAATATTAAGCCATTTACCAAGTTATGATTTAATTAGATGGGTTGGCATTGTGTAAATATAGTAGACTATGATGCCAAATGCTATTATAACAGCAAATTTCTTTGTGTTAAAAAAAAAAAAGGTTGCCTAGCCACTATTAAGCACTGTTCAGTGTTACAATATTCCAGCCCAGAAAAATCATTCAGTCTTCTGTGCTGCAGCGATTTTAATTCACATAAGTGTTAACCGCATAAGGCAAAATTGAAATTACTTACTAGGGTATGCTGTAGCTTCAAATTAGGATTTCTAGAGATCAAGAGATTTTTATTAGAACCCCTTTAAACACTGAATTGAGAATCATTATGTCATTTGTTCCATGTATTTATATTTATGTTTATTTTGTGTATTTATGTGTAAGGTCACAATTTCTAATATTATAAATGGCAATTTTCCCTGAACTGTGACACGTCTTTTGCTTCCCTGTGGCTTGACATTTAGTATTTCTGTTATAGCAATATCGGAAACTGAGCCAGTCTTATTATCCACTCCTGGAATGTCTCACCCAGGACCACATGAGCTTCGTCACCAACTTAGAGCCTCCTGTACTCCTATATGTTCTCACATCTATCTCAGAGGGACTCAGTACTCTTGGTAAGTATCATGGAGAACATTGTTTTCAGAGGAAAGACTTGATTGTGGTCTCTTAATGTATGTGCTTTTGAGATGATCATCCTACAAAGGGGGAAAGATTATTTACCCAAACTGAAAGATTATGTTATAACTATTACCTGCAAGAGAGAAAATGCCCTTTTTCATATTTTGATATAGTTTATTTTTTAATCAGCTTAATTAAAGTATAATTTACACACAGTAAAAATTACTGATTTTAAGTGAACATTTCAATGAGTCCTTACAAACATATATACACAGTCATGAACCACCACAGCCAAGATACAGAACATCTTCATCACCGCAAAAAGCTCCCTCCTGACCCCTTCTAATCAATCCCTTTCCCCTAGCCCCAGCCCCAAGGAACCACTATCTACTTTCTCTCACTGTAGTTTGCCTTTTCCAGAATTTCATATAAGTGAAATCATATAACCTGTAGTCCTTTGTGTCTGACTTCTTTCGTTTAGCATAATGCCTTTGAGATTTATCCACATTTTGCGAAACAGTTTTTATTTTTCTCTTGCTGAGTATTATTCTATGGTATGGATTACCACGTTTGTTATGTTCACCAACCAATAACATTTGGGTTGTTTCCATTATTTGCTTGTTTTGAATAATGCTACTATGAACATTCATGTACAAATCTTTCTGTGGACAGATATTTCTCTTGGGTAAATACCAGAATCGAATTTCTGGGTTGTATGCTAAGTGTATATTTAACATTATTAAAAACTGCCAAACTCATGGACGTATATACGCTACCAAACGTAAAATAGATAGCTAGCGGGAAGCAGCCACATAGCGCAGGGAGATCAGCTCGGTGCTTTGTGACCACCTAGAGGGGTGGGATAGGGAGGGTGGGAGGGAGATGCAAGAGGGAGGAGATATGGGGATATATGTATATGTATAGCTGATTCACTTTGTTATAAAGCAGAAACTAACGCACCATTGTAAAGCAATTATACTCCAATAAAGATGTTAAAACAAAAAACTGCCGAACTGTTTCCCAAAGTCATTGTACCATTTCACTCCCCCAAGCAATGTATGAGGACTCCAGTTGCCCTATATCTTCCCTAACACTTGCTATTAGCAGTCTTCTTAATCTTATCCATCCTTGTGGGTGTGAAGTGGAATCTCCTTGAGTTTTTTTTTTTTTTCCTTGCGTTATGCGGGCCTCTCACTGTTGTGGCCTCTCCCATTTGCGGAGCACAGGCTCCGGACGCGCAGGCTCAGTGGCCATGGCTCACGGGCCCAGCCGCTCCGCGGCATGTGGGATCTTCCCGAAACGGGGCACGAACCCGCGTCTCCTGCATCGGCAGGCGGACTCTCAAGCACTGCGCCACCAGGGAAGCCCTCCTTGAGTTTTTAATTTGCATTTCACTAATGAATGATGATATGAGCATCTTTTCTTGCTTATTTGCCATTCATCTATCTTCTTGGTAAAATATTTGTTCAAATCTTCAACCCAATTTCTTTAACTGGGTTGTTTTATCTTGGGAGAGTTGCTATATATTCTGGATACAAATCTTTTATCAGATCTATGTTTTGCATGTATTTTTTCAGCCTTGGCTTGTCTTTTTTATTTTCTTAACAGTATCTTCTGAAGAATAAAAGTTTTCAGTTTTGAGGAAGTCCAATTATTTTTTTCTCTTACAGTTCATGTCTTTTTGGTCCTATCCTAGGAAATCTTTGCTTATTAACCCAAGGCCATAAAGGCTTTTTCTATGTTTCCTTCTAAAAGTTTTATAGTTTTAGCTCTTATGGTTAGGTCTATGATCCATTTCAATTTAATTTTTGTATGTAGTATTATGAGGTAAAAGCTGGGATTCCTTCTTTAACATGTGGATATTCAGTTCTAGCATCTTTTGTTGAAGAATATCCTTTATTTGTTAGACTACTTTGTGCCATTTCTATACTGTCCTAATTATTTAGTAAGTCTTAAAATCAGATAGTATAGCCCTCTGATTTTGTTTTTCCCTTTTTAAATTGTCTTGGCTATTCTGGGTCCTTTGCCTTTTTTATAAATTTAGAGTCAACTTGTCAGTTTCTCTTGTTAGAAAAAAAAATGAGCAGGGGAATTATTATTGGGTTACATTGAATCTCTAGCCCAGTTTGGGGAAAACTGACATCTTAGCAATATTGAGTGTTCAATTCCCAGCAATGGCATATCTTTCCATTTATTTAGATCTTCTTTACCTTTTCTCAGCAGCATTTTTGAAGTTTTGAATATATAAGTCTTGTCCATATGTTGTTGTATTTATAACTATTTTCTGTTTTTATGCTGTTGTAAATGGTATTGAGTTCAATTGCTATTGTTTTTGCTACCATGTAGAATTGCAGTTGATGTCTTTGTATGCTGACCATGTATCCTGTAACTTTGCTAAACTGACTTATTAATTCTGGTAGCCTTTTGTAGATTTCTTAAGATTTTCTGCATAGATGTGTCTGCAAATAAAGATAGCTTTACCTCTTCCTTTCCAATCTGTATGGCTTTTTTTTGGCCGCACGACATGCAGAACTTCCCCAACCAGGGATCGAACCCATGCTCCCTGCATTTGAAGTGTGGAGTCTTAACCACTGGACCACGAGGGAAGTCCCTATATGGCTTTTTTTAATTTTTCTTACCCTATCACACTGTCTAGAACCTACAGTACAACATTGAATGGAAGTGATGGTAGCGAGCATTCTTTCCTTGTCTCCAGTGTTATGGAGCAAACATTCATTCTTTCTCACCATTCAGTATAATATTAGCTCCAGGTTTTCTGTAGAGGCTCTTTATCTTGTTAAGGAAATTCTCTTCTTTTGTAGTTTTCTGAGAGTATTATCATGAATGGGTGTTGAATTTTATCAGATTCTTTTTCTACATATACTGAGATAATCATGTTTTTTTCTTTTTTGGTCTGTTAATATATTACATGATATTAATCGCCACATTGATGGATATTTGAATGTTAAAACTTTGCATTCCACACTTGGTTACGGTGTATTGTCCTTCTTATATATTACTAGATTCAACTTTCTGTAATTTTGATACAGATTTTTACATCTGTGTTCATGACAGCTATCGATGTATTCTTCTATGGTTCTTCTTTTATAGTTTTCTGTTCTTCTCATATCTTTGCCTTGTTGGTCTAGGGCCCTCATGAAATGAGTTGGGAGATGTTCCCTCCTCTCTTATTTTCTTAACGAGCTTGTGTAGAATTGTTATCAGTTCTTTGTGAAATGTTTGATAGAATTCCCTAGTGAAACCACTAGGCCTAGATTTTTTCTTTGTTAGAAGGTTTTTAACTATAAATTAAATTTCTTTAGTGGATATAGGACTATTCCAGTCTCCTATTACATCTTTCTTTTTTTAATTAATTAATTAATTTATTTTTTTGGTTGCGCTGGGTCTTAGTTGTGGCAGGCGGGCTCCTTAATTGTGGCTCACCTGCTCCTTAGTTGCGGCTCGTGTGCTTCTTAGTTGTGGCTCGCCAGCTCCTTAGTTGTGGGCATGTGTGCTCTTAGTTGTGGCATGCATGTGAGATCTAGGTCCCTGACCAGGGATCGAACCCAGGCCCCCTGCATTGGGAGTGCGGAGTCTTAACCACTGCACCACCAGGAAAGTCCCTCCTATTACATCTTGAGTAGCATTTGATAGTTTGTGTCTTTAAAGGAGATTGTCCATTTCATCTAAAGTTCATCTGATATTACTGACATAAAATTGTTCATAATATCCTCTTGTTATACAATTTGATTTCTGTAGGATCTCTAGTACTGTTCCCTCTTTCATCCCTGACATTGGCAATTTGTGTCGTTTTTTTTTTTTTTTTTTTTTCCTTTTGGCCCCCGGTTTTTTAATTTTTTTTTTTTTTTTGGTTTATAAGTTTTATGCAGAGAAGCAGCTTTCAGTTTTCATTGATTTCTCAATTATTTTTCCATATTTTTATTTCACTGACTTAAGGTATGATCTTCATAACTTCCTTCCTTCAGTTTATTTGCTTTTCCTCTTCTAGTTTTTCCAGGCAGAAGCTTAGGTTGTGGATCTTAGACCTTTCTTCTTTTCTAATGTACACATTTAATGCTTTTATCTAAGCACTACTGTGGCTATAACTGATAAAATTTTTATATATTTGGGGGCTTTTGTTTTTTTAAGATTTAATTTTATTTATTTTTGGCTGCGTTGGGTCTTCGTTGCTGCACGCGGGCTTTCTCTTTGTGGCGAGCGGGGGCTACTCTTTGTTGTGGTGCGCCGGCTTCTCATTGCGGTGGCTTCTTTTGTTGTGGAGCATGGGCTCTAGGCATGCGGGCTTCAGTAGTTGTGGCTTGCGGGCTGTGGCTAGAGCACAGGCTCAGTAGTTCTGGCGCACGGGCTTCGTTGCTCCACGGCAGGTGGGATCTTCCTGGACCAGGGATCAAACCCGTGTCCCCTGCATTGGCAGGCGGATTCTTATCCACTGTGCCACCAGGGAAGTCCCGGGGACTTTTTCTATTCAGTTTTAAAATATTTTCTTATTGCCTTAGTGATTTCTTCTTTTACCAGTGAGTTATTACTTAGAAGCACATTGTTTAATTTCTGATCTTTCTGTTATTGAGTCTAGTTTAATTCCATCATAATCAATTAGTGGTTGTTATAACTTTTGTATTTATTGAATCTTTTTTATGATCCAAAATATGGTGAATGTTCCATGGGCACTTGAAATGAATGTATATTCCATTGTTGTTGGGAAGAATGTTCTCTAAGTGTCAGGTCTAATTGCTTGATAATGTTCACATTTTATATATTTTTACTGGTTTTTTGTCTGTTTGTTTTCTACTTGCCCTATGAATTATCGAGAGAGAAGTGCTGAAGCCTCTAACTATAATTATAGATTTGTCCGTTTCTCCTTTTAATTCTATCCGTCTGTGCATAAATTAGTTTGAAGCTCTGTTATCAAGTAAATATATATTTAGGATTGTTATGTCCCCTTGATTAATTTACCCCTTTATCCTTATGAAGTGAT